GCATCCTTGGTTAAAGTATATCCATTTCCAACTAAGACATAGCTTAGGCATTATAAAAATAAAATTCTTTGATTTAAAAAAAAAATGAAATACAATGGGAATAAAGGACTGGTGCACAATTTTAAAGGTCATAATAGTAAATAAAACTTTTGCCAGTTGAGTCAATTATGCCCAAGATTGGGGAATTATTTTAATAAATTCTGGACTTTCACATCGACGCAAAACATAGAATAATTCAAATATCTATGTAAATGTGTCTAAGTCAATTTAAAAATATATGAAATTCATGGATTCCTAATAAATAGTAAGGAGGATAAATATTTTTAAAGTGCTACCCGAGCGGTGAAATCTGCCTGACAACGCAAGAAATAATCTGATTTATTATTTTTAACATTATATTATGGAGCACACCCATAGTTCTTGTTACCTGAATTGGCCTTCAGCTAATTGCCAGCGACGCTTAAATCGTTGCGACCATCGATTAATTTGGAAAACTTCAGCCACTGCCGAGACCAAGTGAGTCTCTTAAATCTGAAGACTCATCAGAAAAAGTCGTGAAAGTTTTGCATGCGACCCCGTTGGAAAGGGGCAACTTTGTTAATGGTTTTGTCATAAATTTTAATTCGATTGCATCAGAGCAGACGCTGAGGCTGAGGCTGAGACTGAGACTGAAACTGCCATTCAAACTGGGCATGAAAAATGCATTAGACGCTGCGGCCAGGACTCGAGGAGCCTGCAGCAAAAGTTTTTGATGGTGCGGTTGCCCACGGAGACAGGAATCCCCTCCATCCACACACACACATACATATACAGACCCAAAAACTGGCACACACTATCGCCCCGAAGAGAGAAGCCAAGCCGCAGACACAGTCCGTTGTTGGAAGACTCAATTAATTTATGCAGTGTGAAGTAAAGTTTTCGGCTTGAAGAAGCCTTAAAAATTGCATCGAATGGAAGAGAAGAGGAGCGGAGAATGAAGCCCCAATGCCCTCAATTACAGCTCACGAATGGTTGGAGTAATAAGGCGACTTCGTTCAGCAGGAAATACGTTCAATTAATGAATTTTAAATGCTTTCTCATTGTCACTTCCGCACGCCAAAGGCTTCAACTGCAGCCCGCGGCGCACGGTGCGTATGCTCGACGTATGCTTTATTTGCAAGTCAACCACCAAGCCAAGTCAGTGGGCGAGGCAAGCCGAGCCTGTTGAAGGATAAAGGACACTGCGGTGCCATTATCTTTGCCGACAGACATACTGCCATCAAGGATATCAGCCTGCAGGCGAAAGGTACAGTGGAGCTTGATCGAAGCCCTTCTGGAAATAGGTTAGAAAACTTTTGGATTAAAACATTTCTCCCATTTATATTTTGAATTTTTGATATATATTCTTTTATCAAACTCTTAATAATATCTTTCATAAGTAAATTCAAAGCGTACAAAAAAAAAAAACAAAATGACCTTCATTTATGAAAAAATAAATAATTGGCCTAAAAGATGATCCTAATCCAAACATTTTCCGAAAAATCTCTGAGTTTTAAGTACAATTAACATGATTATTTATATGATAAGAACATTTTTTTAATATTTATTATCTCTCTCCTTCTTAATCACATTTGTTATGTACCTCCGCGTCAAGTTGTACTGACAAGCTATTTATATCCGGAACCTTTTAATATTATATTATAAGCGTGTGTTCCACTGTACCAGTCGGTGGGAGGCAGTGCGTGCACGGCCTGAAAAGGCCGAGCGCCCACATTAACTACAAGGATAATGTCGCCCGGCGTCCGCCCGCCGGCTGCGGCATGAAAAAATAACAAGAAAATGCCTGGCATCGTTCATTACGAGCTGAGGCCCAGGCTCAGACTCAGGCTCAGCCCTTTGGCCAGGTGCGTGGATGCGGCAGGACGAGGCAGGACCAAAGGGACGCGGCAGGACAAGACAGGACGAGAGTGGGGGACACAAGACGAACGACAAGACAAGGCATCCGAAATGTTTTATTGTTGTAACTGTCGCCCGGCGGCATAATATATAGTCTGGGACATATCCTGGAGCGCGACTCCGCCGTTGACACAAATCACATGCAACCTTTGGCCCCCCCAACCCCCCTCTTCGCCACCGGGAAAATGAAGTGGAACATTTTTGGTGCTCTCCCTACTTTCGTACGTGCCCGCATTGGACCTGAGTTCGGGACACCAAATTACGTAAGCTTAAAGGGGGTTTTAGAGCTATGTATAGCATATCTCTTCGCCGGTAAAACGTTGCCCTTTTGTCTGCGATTGCGTTTGCGTTTGCCGTCTTCCGTTTTAACAAATGTTTTGTTAGCGCGTCGCTCTCTCAAGTTTTCCGCTGGCAAAAAATTATGCGGAAACGGAAGCGACAAAAGGAAAACCACAATTGAAGGGGCGTCCTGTGCGTGTATGTGTGTGTGTTTAAGTGGCACGTGTCCTGCACACACACACACACACACCTATACCACACATACCAAAATCCACCTGGACCCACTTTGTCATCAGCTTGAATTAGGAGTATATTCAATTTTCATTATTAAATAATGCCCAGGCATTGATGCGTACGTGCGGCTCGGCTAAATTAAATGCACATCGGAATTTATGGGGCCCGGCCGAAATGACAAATAGTACTTGGCTGATCCGCACAAGACACAAGGTAAAACTGTAATTAAATTTGTCCAAAATTCGGATGCACATCCTGTGTGAGCGAAGCGAAGGAGGCCCATAAATCTGCGCACATAAAATCCAGACTACGCCCCAATTCAACTGCGATAAATCAAAACGGAATTCACATAATTTTTATCGTTTTGCACAATTTTGCATGTGAGCAAACCGTACTTCGTACTCCGTATTCCGCCCTCGCTCACATCGGTTTTCAAGTTAAACGTTTCAATAAAGTCGAGCACCTGTCAATAAATCGAAATTGCCTCTCGTATTATTTTTATCGGCTACGTTTCGTTTACATTGCACAAGATGCTTCATTTTCAGCACAGCCAGCGGCCACGCCTGACATATATACTCTATATCTATATACATTTCTATACATCTAAGCCACAGCCATGTGTGTGTGTACCTTGGCTATGTCTCACCGCCTCGTCATCGCCATCATCTTCTTCCAGTTGAGCGAATCCTGCGGGTTAGTTCCTCCTCGTGTGGCTTAGATTTTCCAACTTCTTGTCTTATTTCTTGGATGGTCGAGTTCCGTTTTAATTCAGTTTTCGGCAATCGAATTGTGGACAGTTTTCATGGGTTTAATTATGGGCCTGCCTTTGAAGTCGCCTTCTAGCCGACGATGCTTTAATTTTAATCCACTTGCGCGCTTAAAAGCGACCAAGTACAATTTTTACGAGCGCCTTCCTTATGAAAATTTAATAAGTCGGCAACGATGGGAGTTCGCATAATGAGAGTGGGCCCCAAAAAAATCGGGACATGCCAGGACAAGCCACCGCAGCTCATCCGAATCTGACTTCTCGAGTGAACCAGCCAAATGCCCCCGTCCACATATGTCATGTAAAAAGATTGTTTAACAAGCAGAGCCAAGGAGCAGGAAGCTTAAAAATGAAATGCGTTTCTCGTTTTCACATGGCTGCCGGCTGCCATCAAATGGGTCACAGTGGTGTCGAAACTCGACCTTTAAATTAATTTTAGATATCAGAATATACGAAATAATTTGTAAAATTAACATAAAAAAAAAGCTTACAATGGAAAATTTATATTCCTCTTCTTGCTTAACATGGATTAAAACATATATTGTTGTCGGCTATTGCTGTCTAAATATATATTTATTTAATTGTTTAAAACACAAAATACTTTTGAATTTTCCCAGACTCAAAGTCCTTGTGCTTAAGAAGTAGTTGAAAGCTGGTTTTTTTATATCCCTAATAAAAACAGGTTATTTTCTGAAGTCCAAGTTGTAATTTCTTTGTCTAAAGATTGAATTAAAAGCCTATAAAAGTGATGGCCCACTCAAAGCCCACTGTTTCGGCCTTGTGCAAGACGTTGCTCTCGTTGTGCCGAGCCAACAAACAGGCGAAATATTATTTACGAGCTGTCAAATCCCAGTTAACATGCCTTACACAAGGACCAAGGACGTCTTCGGTGTGTTTGTGTAGTTGTTTGCTCGATGTGGCCGCATATATAGTAGTTCGCTAAGAGACAGCTGAAGATGCGCTGCCACAGTTTCGGATACACAGTCACAGATACAGATACAGATTAACAGCCAGATACAGATACAGATAAAGATACATTTTACGGATAGAGGCACACTGTAAGATACTCTTACGGCATTCAGAAAGTGTGCCAGGATGTCTGGATCCTTGAAACGGACTTGAGCGGAGCGGCATAATGAAATAAAAAAGCATAAATAAAGGCGAGGCCAGGCCACGAAAATAATTTAAATTTATGTACTTGTGCGTATTTATTTGTGCGTTTGGCTTTTATTTCCTCCACAACGTCTCCTGATTTGTTTGTCTCCCTCCCACACTCGACCTTTTTTGGCGCAACCTCTTCCTTTCCCTTTCCTTTTTCCCTTTTTTTTGCAGAGCCACAGCAGAAAGCATTAAATTCAATTTGCTTATGTGAGTATCTGTGTGTCTGCCACTCAGCGTCAGTTACAGCTAACGAGGGGAGTAGGGGAGAAGGGGCGGGGAGAAGGGGGCACAGGTTCGAAGGACTAAGGACCAAGGGGAGGGACAAGGCCATGCCAGTGACGGCGACCTGTTGTGTTGTTTAAGGAATTACTTAACGTGGCAAAAGCATGTGCATGTGTATGTGACTGCTGCTTATGCATGTATGTGCTTAATAAATTTTTCGGTGTGTCCTTTTTTGATTATATCCTGGAACAGTTACAAATGGGTAGCACATATATGACAGGCGTTTAATGTTGAATACTCGTTTAAGCTTACCATATAGTACTAATATTTGTTTAAACATTAAAGGTTTATTTAAAATATAGGACCATTTCTGAATCTAGTATAATGGTATTTAGCCAAAATATACATCTGAACTATGTACGAACTTTATTTAAAATTATCGGATAGTAAAAACAATATTTATGAAAAAATTTTGTTGCTAATGGGCTTAGCTAGCCACTACTTTTTCTTGTCCTTATCGTCCTTTTCCTTGCTTTCATTAGCTTTCTTATCATCCTTGGCTTTCACCTCTTTATCTTTTCCCTTTGCTTTAACATCTTGCTTTTTGTCATCGTCTAATTTAGAATCCTTCTTTTTTTCCGGCTCAGGTTGATTTTCGGGTCTTAAATAAATGGCATATTTTCCCATTGAACTTCAATTGGAAAGAAAAAATAACTTACAAGTCCAGAATCGAAATGGGATCAATATCTATGTCGGGTAGCACAAATTTGGGAAACTGGGTCAGATCGATGCCCTCACCGCCACCATATTGAAGTGCCAAGCGGTCGAGGGCCTCCTTCAGTTCCGCCTCGTATTCCGGACCGGCATCTATGGGCTTTCCTTTGGGACTCTTCAGCCGGTACTCACGCACCTTGTCCAGAAAAATGTTGTAAACAGGATCCTTATAACGCAAAGATGCCGAATTGGTAAAGCTCCGACGTAGAAAAAGGCTGGTTTTTAAAACGTTTGCAAACATTTTTGTGTGAGTTTCGTTCTCTGTCGATTCAATACTGTTTTAAATTTTTGTAAAACGATTTCTGAGCTATATAACTTTTTCTGGGGTGACTTGATTAAAAATTGCTATTAAAAGGAAAATTAGAAGTATTAAAGTATTATTAAGTACCTATATAAGGTATATAATAAATTAAGCTTCTCAATAAATTATGTATAGAAACTTATTTATTTATTTTATTAGGCAAATTAAAAACCTATGATTGTAGCTAGTCACAAACTTTAATTTTCAAAACTTTTTTTAAATTAAAGTTCAATTTAAGTATCTGGTTCGTTTATCAAGCCCCCAATTTCGGCTATCACATCTCAAGTGTGCCAAGTGTTCGTTTCAGGACGAATATTTTTCGCTTCGTTGCTGCCCATTCTCTTTTATTCCCGAGCGTGTAAGATTTTCTTTCTGTCTGTCTCGCCTTATCTCCGCATTTCTGTGTGTGAGTGGGCTTGACAATGCGTGTGCCATCTCGACAAGTTTTTCTCAAAAAGTGAGACAAGTGGAAATCCGTTAAAGAAATACGTGGAACACATAAAGGCAGCAACATCATGCCGTTGAATTGTTGCTGCTGTTGCTGCTGTCGTTGCTGTTGCTGCTGTTGCTGCTGTTGCTGCTGTTGCTGCTGATGTGCATGGCAGCAACATAAATATATGCGTGTGTGTGTGTGTCTGTGGACAAAGAAATGTCGTCGGCAGCAAATAAAAATTAATTGAAAAATGTTTATCAAGGACTTTGCAGGGGAAAAATTTAAACGCACAGTGAGAAGCAACGGGAAGAGATGAGAGCCGCGAGGCAAACTCTGATAATTGATGGGGAGACATGTATGAGAAAATTATAATTAATATAAATTTCCATCACCTCCCCCGCCGGCGGTTCAAATAAATGGATCATTGTCGAGTGCGAAATGAGGAATGCGCAGCTTCTAAGCCCGGCTTAATCGTCCATCGCCACATGCGATGGCACAACTCATTTCAAATGCAGCTGGCACTTACGCTGCGTTTCGCCGCCACCATTCGAATTAAAATATATATATCTATATATGGTGTACATTTTGTGCAAAATATCCACGCCGAACTAAAAATTATGCAACGCATTAAAAATTTAACAAGCGCTTATCCGCTTAGAGCAACGCCCGCAACACGATGGGGTTTTTTGTTCCACCCGCCAACATCCAGCGTCACTTTCAATATTTAAATTTTGACATTTTCTGCTTTTGACGCGGCCATGGAAAAAAAGGGGGCAAGAGGCGATGTAGCGGGACGTGGACAATATTGCATCAATGCAAATTGGGCAGAAATAATATGCAAACATTGGCACAAACAGAATGGCAACCTAATTGGCAGCAATAACCAAGTTGGCATGCATTTGCAAATACCGGCGAGAGGTAACTCTCTAATACGTGCTTTGAATTGGCCAACTTCCTAATGCAAATGCTAATTTTAATTTAACTCAAAGAAGTTTTGGGCTTCGGTTTTTTCAATATTATAATATTTTAATTTTTAAAAATCTTTTGTAATTATAATTAATTGTTCTTTTAAATGTATATTTCTCTAAGAAAATGTCTCTGGTTTTCTAGTTAATACACTACACTAAATACATTTTTTAGGCCAAATTCTCAGCTTTATCTTTCAAATATAAAAATTCTTTAAACAGCTTCTATCTTAATAAATGCAGTTTCCATAGTTCGATAGTACCAATACTTTACGGTGTAGTACAAAGTTTATATTTAAGCTGTCATTGGTGAAAACAAGAAACTGTGGAACTGTTATTGCCTGCTTGATGTATATATCAAAGCTTTTTAGTCTGTGCCAGAGCACATGTATCTCAATCTTCATTCCGACTACAGCTAAGGATTAAGCAGTTGGGCGTGGGCCACGCCCCCGCCATTAAAGTAGTTTCCCCTAACTTGGTTAGAATTAATATTTAGCTGAGCGCAACTTTATTTGCAGTTGGCAAATGCTTTAACCTCCCCCGCAGACAACAAAGTGAGCAAAGTATCCTGCGGTTGCCTGCCGCTCCTTGAATGCGTATCCGTGTATCTGTGTATCTGGATGTATCTGTGTGTATCTGTGTATCGGTGTGGGCGGTCATGGCTGGGTGGTGGTGTGCGTGTTTTAAAATGCAACAGATGCGCCAAATTAATGCGACCATTAAATTGTATTAGCGTGTGCAAAATGTAAAGCGTATTTGCCAGCAGATTGCTCCAGCCAAGTGCGAGTGTATCTGAGTCTGGGGTTCCGGGATTCTGGGATTGTGGGGTGCTAGGAATCCGGGAATCGGAGAAGTGGCGCAAATGCATCCCGCAGTATCACCGCAGTTTCTGTGCGTTGTATTCGCTGCAAATTTGTGTGTGAATAAACATGAGAGTCGTTGCATTAATGCGCATACAAAAGCCAACAGCGCCGAGTCCTTGCCGGCGTAACAGCTATTCCTGCGTAGGAACAAGGATTTAAATATCCCAGAGGGGCAGAGGGTGGGGTAGAGGGAGATTTCCGGACGATAAAAGGGATAGAGAGCTGCTCAATGCTAAAATATCATGCAGCAGCAGCGGCGTCAAGTTTATGTGGCATGCCACAAAGTACATAGATACACAGCTACACTACACTACATAGATACACAGGCAGCGACTGAGATACAAAACTGCATTTGCCGCTTTTTGCCCATGTTTGCGCTTTTCACAGCACTCTCATAAGTGCAGCTTCAACGCCAACAGCGCGGCTGCAAACAAAAATGATAAATGCATTTTTTAAATACAGCGCAACGAGGGGAGAAAAAATTAAAGCTTAATACTGTACACTTCAATTTAATGCAAAAATAAATATGTTCAAAAATAGAGACAAATAAGAAGTTGGAACAAAAAGCGTCTCTTTTTTTCATAAACGAAGTGTAATTTGTTGTTATGCTTTTGAAAATATTGATATACCATGCATAGAATTATTTTTCATAGCGCATTTTTTTTAGAACCCACTTCAAAAATGGGCTTTTCTCCCAAGGGTCATTCCAAAATGTAACAAATAAAAGCAATTTGATTTCAAGTTTTAATTCAGGGTATACAAAAATGTAGATCATTTTAAAGTTTTATAATTGTGGCTTTCTTAGCTCGACTTTTATTGAGGCAAATTGTTTTGATTAATGAATGTTTGACAGTTAACCCATTTGTTTTATAAATAAATTTTGAAAATAATATGTTTATTTTGAATTTAAAGGATGAATCTTAAGCTCAACAAAAGACAACATTTTTCGGTGCAGTAAAAGGGTTTAAATAGTTTCAAATATACATTTTGTACATATTTTTGTATAGTTTCAAGCTCAAGGGATGCCAACTATTAGGCGAACGGAAGTACTGTGCAATTTGCAGATATTTATTCATTAGCCATTTGGAGAAATTTGTTGCCTGGCTTTGGGCGCTCGGCATTTGTGTTCTCGTGTTGCAATATTTGCAGTAACAATGGAGCTGGAACTCCAATAGGAAGGGGGTGGTGTGCAGGCGGTGGTTTGCCACTAATAGGCTTCTAATTGGGCAGTCGCCGCCTTTTTGTTTGCCCATTCTTCTATTTTTTTTTTTTGGTTTCTGTTGTGCTATTATTCGTTGTTTCGGTATTCGGTATTCCAATTAAAATGCATCTGGTATGGTATCTCGTATCTGGTGGTGATGTATCTGCACCCCGCCGCCGGCAGTTGCAAGTAATTTTAGCCACATATTGGCAAAGTGCCGCAAATAGAAGCAGCCGGAGAGGTGGAGTTGCCCTTAAGCCGCACGCAGAGCTCATTAGAGCGAACCAAATCTGTGCTAAGTAGGGGTTCAGTTGGGCTGCTAAGGGGATGGGGATTGGGTTGTGGGTGGTATTAGCTCCATTAACAGTCTGTACCTGCTCGATTATACATTTCGTCCTGCCCGGAGGAAGCTACAGCTGCAGCTGGCGTTGATTTGGATTGTCGGCTGCATGATGCGATTAAACAAAACTCGCTAATGGGTCTTACTTCACGGAATCGGTGGCGAAAGAATCAAGCTGCTATCCAATGCGTACACAGGAAACAAAAATTGGTACATAATCTGCATCTTAAAGTATATGAAATGTAGCAACAAGCATAGAGTACCACATAAGCAATTTTTTAAGATTTTTAAGTTAAAGTTTAGATTTTAAATAATATCAAAACTAAACGTATCTACCTAAATAATTATCTGGACAATTTGTATAACGGTTTATAACAAATAAATATTTGTAGCAACAGAAATTTGTAAAACACTTCAGCAAGTAAAAAATCAAAAACAAAAATCCTAAATATATGTAATGAATTAAAGACAAATAGGTATTTGTCATATATAACAGGCATAAAAGAATATAAACCTCTTAAAAAACTTAAAAGGAGCAATATGGACAAATAAGATAACTTATTCTTAAATTTTTTTAAATTTTTATATAAGAATACCTACAAAACATGAAGTAGGCAATAAGTCAAGTTAAATAATTGAATAATTTTATTTTTAATCAAATTAAACCTTGATATCTGAGTACATGCATTGATAATTTTTTTCATCCCAATTTGAGTCATTTTTGAGGCATTAATTTTATCCGTGCATGCTTTCACTTTGGGATTGGGTCGTGTTTATGCCCCACGCCTGTTGCGGTCATAATTATATTAATGAACACATGCCCTGCCCAGCCCCACACAATCACGCAGGCGGATTGTATCTCACGGATGCCGGGATACGGCGAACAAAGCACTGTGCATATATTTGCATAGGAATATTAATGCCATAATTATTTGCCACATGGACACAATGCACAAGATGTATGCAATATTTAGCATGTCAGTTAGTGCGAGCGTCTGTATCTGTGTGCATATCGGGTTGTATCTATGTGTCCCCTCTGCGGTAACCGTTGTAATTCCAATTGCATTTCGACCATTCAAGCAGTTCGCATGGCTGTGAAATATTTCGGCTTCACTGGCCATCTGATGTACTGTTGCTGCTATTTTGGGGTTTTGCCTTATGTCGACGCACACAGAAGCGCACTAATGCATAATGTAACTCAATTA